GCCAGTGCCTGCGAGATCACGGGCGAAGGTCGCAATGCCACGCACAGTGGAGTCGGCGTCGCTAGCTCGACCGCGTCGGCGGCTAGCGCCGATATGCGAGCCGAAGTGGGAGCACTACAAGTCCAGGCTGTTCTTCCAGAGCGTGATGCTCGGCAACATGCAGGTGTTGTTCGCTTCGATCTACGGCGTCTGCAGCGCGGGCCTGGCGGACAATGCCGCGCTGCTCGCGTCGCTGTTTCAAGTGCTTCGTTGGTCACGCTTGCCCTTCGTTGTCGCAGGTGCCCGGGGCGTTGAGTCTGAGCGTTTCGGCCGCGACAACTTTTCGAGAGCAGGCTTCCTCGACCACTTGCACGGCGATGCGGTGCACCGTGGCGCTCTACACGCAGCTGCCCCTGCTGCGGCTTTCGTGAAGCCGGCGGGCGCGATCCGGGGCACGCTGGTGGCCCCCCACCGTGGAGTCGCACTTCACTTGGCAGGCCTGGGCGGATGCGTATTCGCCCACTGGCGCGTCATGCATGAAAACTTCAAGATGCCTGTCTTAGGGCAACCTTTGCGCGTCAGGTCACGTCTCTCAGTGGACAGAGCTTCACATCTGCATTGGTGAGTCTCCGCTCCGCCGCCAGAAGATGGCTCACCTCGGCAGAACTGCGCATTTGTTTTTTCTCCGTATCCTGAGCCATGAGAGGTCGCGGCACTGCGTTTGAGAGCTAGGTTGCCGCTTGCAACAAGCGCCGCTAGCCTGCCAGTGGGACAATATCCTCAAAAGGAAAGCCAATCCATCACCGCAGAATTGGTTGTCCATCCGCAGGTTGGCCACGCAATGGCTACGGGCGGATGGCAAGGACTCGCCGCCGCAGGTCGAACATAGAGCCAGCGCGGGAATAATGCTCACGGAACACGGGGATGCGCGGGGCGGCTCGGACCGGGCGGGGGGCGGCGGGTTCCGAATCAGGGTTGTTTCGGAGCGTAATGAGGGGCTGAGCAACCCCGCTTCCCGCGCCCAGGACTGCAAATGCATCCAGGACGAAGTGCTCGCGCGCGCGGCTTCAGACGCCGCCCCTGCCGCGCAGGGCCGGAGAACACTCGGAGCTCGCCTTCGCCAATGGGGCAGGTTTGGCCCACTGTTTCCCCATGGGCCCGGAGGGGGCTCAGTCGGCAGACATAGGCCGCGGGATTTCCGCCGCGGGGCGCGACGCCCTCCTTGCGATGATCGAACAATGAAATTCACCCCTCCGAGTGGGATGTTTCGAGTGGGCTTGAGAATCCAGCCTTCGCAGCCGACGAGGTCAGGTCTGCGCCGGCACTTTCAAGGCTGGCACTGCGCTGGGATGGAACTGCTTCCATCCGCGCTGGGTCGAGCGACCCCCCGCCTTCCCCCCTCTGGCTCTCACGCCCCTCCTCCTTCAGTGGGGCGCTCGGCCCCCAATGCCAGAGACGCGGATCGCGTCAACTGTCTTCCTCTCCGAAGTCGCGGGAGGGGCGGTGCCCACAGGGCCCCCCCTTTCCTTGCGAGAGCGCGGTCAAGGCTGCGTCGCAGACGGGTGGCGGAGCGGGAGAGGGCCCTGCCGGATCGTCTCTTCTGGGGCGCTGCGTCCGAAACATCGCGTGACAAATCCGCCAGGATCCACAATGCGCTAGCGCGCGTGGCCCCCGGGCAACTGCGCCAGTGCCAGCGCCTTCATGGGCTTCCGCAAGTTTTCCGAGATGGCGTCGCACAAAGAGCTCCTCGGCGCCGCTAGGGGCACCACTTTTCCTGCGAGGCTCCTAAAAACCTTGCGTTGCCTCTACGGAGGGCCTCGCAGCGCCGGCCAGATCTCGACGTCTGCAGTGATTCGCGCCAGCGGGGCTATCACAGCGGAGCATTCGCGTGCGACGGAGGCCTGCGAAGTTGATGGCGATCACGGTTATACACGGCGCGTCGGGCCCATATGCAGCGCCCGAAGAAAGAAGAAAACACCTCGATTGGCGACGTCAGTTTTCCACTCCGTCGGGGGCCCCGCCACGGTAACCAGGGAGATGGTTTTCGCTTTCAAGGAGACGGCCGGCCTCCTGCAGGCCCGTGGGCTGCCGCTATCTTGGGACAGGACGGGCTGCTTCTGCAGCGACCCTCAGGCGTTGTGTGAGATAGAGGACGAAGTCGCTGATCTGTGGCCACCACCGCGACCCCGGGAGGGGATGCTCGTGACGGGAGATGCAGACGGACGGGTACGCAGCTGGTTCGCATCTTAACGCCATGGCCAAAAAGGAACGGATCAGGGCGCTCCACGGGCTCGCGAAAAAGAAATAATGTGTCCGTCGGTCGGGCGCATTATGGGAAGTCCTGTGGGGCTGCTCTTTTGCTGGCGTGCCAAACAGTCCACGTCAACAGTTTCGGGTGTCCTTCTTGAATGCTGCGTCTCGGTTCGAGCCTGGATCCTCGGTGGGGCTTGTGCTTAGGGAGCGGATGGGGGAATAATCATCCGGCGATTGCATCATCGGACGCTGCGCGTACATATCTTGTGATACTTCAGAAAGGTGCGATCGCGATGGGGATCGTGGCCACTCTGATGCGCTCAGCCCAACCTCCCCTGGGAGATTCCCAGGCATGGCTGAAGTGCGAGAATCCACTCGCGGCGCAGCTGGTCACGGTTTATCAAATTTGCTGGGGGCTGCGAGACCCGACGACCTTCGTCGACGACAGAGGGTGCACCACATGGGATGTCCGCATCTACTCAGCCAGTTTCTTGTTCCAGCTGGTCAAGCACGGTGTCCGACGGCAGGTGGGCAGAGATGCGCTGGCCCAGCAGCGAAGTGCAGTCACGACGCGGACAGGCCCAATTGGTCGGGGGCCGATGCGCCGACCTTTCGCCCAATGAGAAGCGCACCGTGAAAGGCGCCATCTCTGAATGGCACTGGTGTCAGGTTCGCGTGGCGAGAGCTTTCGCTGGAGAGACGCACCTTTGCCTGCGGCGCGGTGCGGCTGCGGGGATTCTGCCCCGCAAGTTTTGCGCACGCGCCGCGTACGAGAGCCACCGAGGGCCGTTGATTCCATCGGAGGTTCGGAAGGCTGCGCACAACAACAGAGCCGAGCCGTTCGACAAACAGGTCAAATTCGCCAGAGGTCTCTTGCCATATTTCGGTCAGGCTTTCCGTGGCGCACCCAGGCCCAATCGCCATGACTTCGTTGACGTGGACCGCACAGGGCCCATCACTGTTCAGGGCGGACACGTCTTTGCAAACGGCAGCGGCCACGACGCCAAGTACCCCGAAGTGAGATCAGCTGGCCGGTCGGTACCCATGTATTCTGCAGGGAGAGGATGCGGCTGGGCCGCTTCCTGGGCGCAGCGCCGACGGAAGAATGCCCCGACCAAGTGGCTCGCGACGGCGAACATTCTGCACTGTATCAAGCGAGCCAGCTGATCATGGGAAGCTTCACGTTGCGCTCGGATTGCAAGGGGCCCACCAGCTGCTGCCACAACTTGGGCCACGCGAGCGGTCCAGGCAACTTTCGAGCACACACATTGAGACGGGCAGCCCTGAGAACGACTGCTGCCGTGCCAATGCCATACATGTGAAAGCCCACGCCTCGCAGAATGATGTGAGAGAAGGGCGCGTATCTCAACTCGAGAAGGACTGCAATGAAGAAGTGGATGCCATAGCCAAGCAAGGTGCGAGTTCTCATCGTGCCGATGCGTCTGTCCTGGCCCTGCTTCGAGGGGCAGCCGGGATCCACAGGCTGCTCCGGAAGTACATCGCGGTTTTCGAGGTGTGGCTCCACGGTCAGGAGGACGAGTTCAAAGATTACGCCGTCGCCGATCCTGAGGATGCCGCCTGAGTGACGAGGGACGAAGAAGCTGCAGCCGCGGAAGCTCGGAGTCCGTGGCCGCGGCACATCCCTGGCCATTTTATGTTGGAGTTCTGTCTTGCCGGCAATGACGATGCGGTGCTGTATTGCTCTTCCTGCTGCAAGTATGTTGGCACGGGCAGCGTGAACCACCATGTCCTGGACACGACATGCAAAAAACAAAGCGAGAAGATCTGGACGCATTGCGGAGAGCACCAGACACTTCTCGAACCCGCGACACCCGAAGGCTTGCAAGAGTCACGTTGGGCTGGAGGAGGCACGGAGCCCGTCGACCACCTCACGCATTTGTTTTGTGCAAGGCCGATCGCTGGACGGACCCTGCGACTGGTGTTGACCTACATGTACCCAACCGCAAGCGTGGCCGTGTCAATGCATCGAGATTGCTGGACACTGGCACCACGCTGCGGGATTTTGCGTTTTCATACGACGAGATGGTGGCCCTGGGCACCACCAGCGACCCAGAGTCGGATGACGAGCTCTGGGAGTGAGGGTGTCGGCCCTTGGAGGTCGCAAGGTTTGATCTGCACGACGCGTCCCTCTTCCGTGCCGTCCCCAAAGGCACGCTGGTGAGCCAGCCTTTCCAGGCCCGTTTCGCCGCGGCCGCCGAGGCCGCCGCGCTGTGCGCCTTTGGTTTTGGCCCCCCTGCCTGGCCAGCAGTCTGCCCCCTCTTCGCCCTCGGGCTTTGGGGCAAACCGCGGCTGGGACGGGTGGGCTGGGACTGTTAGCGCTCTCCTGACCCAACTGCCTCTCGGCTTATGCTCGCTCCCTCCCTTATCCTCCTCCTCCTCCTCCTCCTCCTCCTCCTCCTCCTCCTCCTCCTCTTGCTCCTCCTCTTGCTCCTCCTCTCTCCTCCTCTCTCCTCTCTCCTCTCTCCTCTCTCCTCTCTCCTCTCTCCTCTCTCCTCTCTCCTCCTCCTCCTCCTCCTCCTCCTCCCTCCTCCTCCTCCTCCTCCTCCTCTCTCCTCCTCCTCCTCCTCCTCCTCCTCCTCCTCCTCCTCCTCCTCCTCCTCCTCCTCCTCCTCCTCCTCCTCCTCCTCCTCCTCCTCCTCCTCCTCCTCCCCTCCTCCTCCTCCTCCTCCTCCTGCTCCTCCTTTTCCTCCTCCTCCTCCTCCTCCTCCTCCTCCTCCTCCTCCTCCTCCTCCTCCTCCGCCCAATCCCTCCTGCAGAAAGGGGGCAGCGCTCTCCAGTGCACGACGGCCACGACGGGCGCAGCGCGGGTAACTATGCGCGCCCCACGCGGGCGAAGCGCGGCGTGGCTGCAGCGCGCCACGGCCCCCGCGGCATTGGGCGCGGAGGCCCCGAGGCCGAGCGCAGGCAGAGGCTAGGATACCACGACACAGGCAGAGTGATTTCGTCGCGTGATGCGAGGTCTCCTCCCCGCCCCTCCTCCCACACCCTCCCCCTCCTCCTCCTCCTCCTCCTCCTCCTCCTCCTCCTCCTCCTCCTCCTCATCATCATCATCATCATCATCATCATCATCATCATCATCATCATCGTAATCCTTCTCCTCTCCTCCTCCTCTTCCTCCTCTGCCTCCTTCACCTGAGATTCGCATCACGTGACGAATCCCAGTTGCCGACGATCCGCTGGGAGGCGGAGGCCCCGAGGCCGAGCGCAGGCAGAGGCTAGGAACACGAGGCCCTCCGCCGGCCAAAACGCACAGAACATCCAAGGGTGCCCTCCCCAAGGTGCACGAGAATACCCAGCAAGCACGAAGAACATCAGGGCACCCTCCCCGAACCGACCTCGATCTTGTACCTCGGCCCGGCTGTACTACGACACGATGCGACTCGCCCTTGGGATGGCAGGTATAGCACAGGGAGAGTGCCTGCAGGCAGAGAGGAGGCTGCCAAAAGAGAAAAGATCCGAGGACTCCGACGGCACAGCCCTGAAGAGCTGCTCGTGCACAGGAGGCTCCTCTCCTGCTGCACGCCGGCGCTGCTGCACACCTCGCTCCGTCTCGCTGCACGTTCTGTCGCAGGCTTCGCCGCGCGCTGATCTTTCTCTATCGTTTCTCCGCACGGTCGCCGCCACACGCCCCCTTCGCCATGGCAAGAGATCTCCCGACGCACTAGTGAGTGCGGAATCGGCGGACTCCCCTGCACGCCAATGCATCGAGGGGCGAATTCAAATGATCAGTTGTGGCATCGAGCCAACAAGCACGACAACCTGTACAGCGCGACACGAGTGATACATTGGCGCCCGGCCGAGCAGACGAGAAGTGGCAACGCGAAGTATTGTGATCAAGGGGGAGGGAAGGCATAGAGGACGACGACGACGACGACAAGGACGAAGACGAGGACGACGACGAGGACGACGACGACGACGACAGGGACGACGACGAGGACGAGGACGAGGACAACGACGACGACGACGACGACGGGGGCCGTCGCAGGAGCGAGGAAAAAGAGGAGAGATGCCAGAACGACTCCACCGCGCCTCCATGGTGCTGCGACACGCCCTCCCATCTCAAAGCCCGCGTGGCAGTGCCTCACCGGATGAAGTGTACACCCTCTGCAGTCGAAACTGGACTTATAAACACTGCGCCGAGGGCAAGTGTGAGCTCCAAAGGCCTGGAATGCGACGTGGGGATCTATCCACATCCACCGCATGGGAACCGACGCCCTCGTGCCCCAGCGGGCGGCGAACATGGATAGCTAGACAGATATATAGATAGATAGATAGATATGTATATGTAGATTTTCCTGATTAAATGTCTTGTAAGGCCAGGGACCCCGGAAGAAGCCCCCCACCACATAACGAATTTGGCCCACCCCAGGCCTTTCGGGCAGATCCCCAGGCGACCTGGGAGGACCTCACGAGAGCCCGAAGACGGCCCCAGAGGACCCCCGACGTTCCGGCGCGCTCCCGAAACGACCCCAAAAAGCCACAAGACGGTCGACGACGACCACAAAGGAGCCGTCATACCCCCAAAGATTGCCCCAAAACGTCCCAAGAGGCCTCCAAGAGCACTCCCAAGAGGGCCCCAAGAGGCAAAATTCATTGATTTTCCAGTGCTTTGTGGAGGATTGGGGAGTTCTCCCCTTTTCTGCTTTCCGACGCTCCAAGATGGCCCACGAGGCCCCCAAGATCGCCCTTAGATAGCCCGACAGACCTCCAAGAGGGCCTCAAACCTGCCCAAGAGGGCCCCGAGACAGTCTCGACAGGGCCCCAACGGCCCCAGGAGGCTCCCAAGAGGCCCCGAAGAGGCCCAAAGAGGCCCCTAAGAGGCCCCCAGGGAGCCCCAGGAGGTTCCCAAGAGTCCCAAAAGATCCCGCAAAGTTCGAGATCGCTCCAAAACATCTGGAGAGGCCTCCAAGAGCACTCCCAAGAGGGGGCTTCACGAAGCAAAATTCATTGATTTTCTGACGGGTTGTGGGGGACTTTTGAGTTCTCCCCTTTTTGGCTTCCCGACGCTCCAAAAGACGGCACAGGAGGCCCACATGATCGCCCTAAGACGGCCCGACAGACCTCCAAGAGGGCCCCAAACCGGCGGGTCCCAAACGGGCCCAAGAGGACCCCCAGACAGTCCCGACAGGGCCACAGGAGGCCCCAGGAGGTTCCCAAGAGGCACCGAAGAGGCCCCAAGGGGCCCCCAAGAGGCCCCCAGGAAGCCCCAAGAGGTCCCAAAGATTCCCAAAATATCCTGCAAGGACCGTACAGAAGTTCGAAAAAGCCCGAAGAGGTCCCCAAGACAGGCCCAAAACGGGCCAGGAGTCCGAACATGACCCCAAGACAGCCCAACAGAGCCAATACGCGCCCCAAAACGGGCCCAAGCCATAACGGGACTGCACCACGTCCCGCAGAGGCCCTCAGAAGGCTCCGGAAGGCTCCAAGAAGGTCCACGTGACGTTAAGACTCTGAACGCGAGGCCTCCCAAGAGCTAACGGCGGCGCAAAACACTTTCAGTGTCAAGATAATCGAGCCCCGCTGGGACACGGTCCCGAGGCCCCCAAGGCCCTCACACGGCTCCTTACATAATCTCAAAGATAGGGTCATTGGTAAGCCCAGGTCGCCGTTCCACATTCTGCCGTGTCCTCCTTGCCGTCTCCTACCCAAGTCTCTCGGCACTCGCGAGCCCTTCGCTGTGTTTCTGGCCCACACCCCCTGTGGCCACGACCGCGTCCATTTTTACTTAGACATACGTATGTGTACAAATAGATCTGCCCAAATAGACACGTTACACATGTATACGCAAGCATGGATGTTTACATATATGTGTATATATATATATACACATGCACAACTATACATATGATGAAATCTGTATATGTGTACACATGTCGGTGAATATCTCTCTCTCTATATATATGTATTTATATATGTATATATATGGCGTGCATGCACGTGCTTGCGTCATGTGCACGCACACGCACGCCGCACGCGTGCGAAACTCGAAGGACCAAGGTGCATGGCGCGAAGCGCCACTGCAGCCTTGTATATATGTGTATATCTATGTATAAATGTATATGTTTATAGGTGTGTGTGTGTGTGTGCGCTTGTGCTTGTGTTTGTGATTGTGATTGTGTTTGTGCTTGTGCTTGTGTTTGTGCTTGTGCTTGTGTTGGTGTTTGTGTGTGTTGGCCCCTGGGGGGCCAAATACATCCATGTCCACCCCTTGTCGAGATCTCCGGAAACCGATCCTGCAGGTGATGGTTCTGCAGCAGCCCCCGCCTCGGGCGGAGGAGGGAGGGAGATCGAGCAGCCCAGGCGTCGGGCGACGTGCTTCAACAAAAACGAGAAGGCTTAAGTCGGGCCTGTCCCCCTACAGAGGGATTTTCGATGAAAAATGAAAAATACCCCAAAAATAATTTTTTAAAAAATGGTCCAAAAATAGTCGGGGGATTTTTTTTTGTTTGTATTTGTGGATCTTTTGGGGGTGCTTTTGGGGTATTTTTCATTTCTCGTCGAAAATCCTCCTGTAGGGGGACGTGCCCGACATAAGACAAGGCATGCGCCCGGGTGGAGAAGCCGATCCGCCAGACGCCTGGGCAGGAGAGCCCAGCATCGGATCGGCAAGCCGGGTCGGCGATCGATCGGGGATGGACAGACCTCCCTTTAGTAAAACGTGGTTTTGTGAAAACGACTTCGGGCCCAAACCTGGTGGGCGCAAGCCTGGAAAGTGACGGCCGCGGCGCCCTCTCGAGAGCCGAACACGAATCGAAAGGAGTCGGAGCGGCGGGGATCGGCAGCCAGGCCCAGGGAAAAACCGGAGCGGCGGAGATTGGCAGGCCAGCCAGGCCCCCACCGAGACCCCGAGATCCAGGTCGGGATCCGAAGTTGGATCTCCTCCTCCTCCTCCTCCTCCTCCTCCTCCTCCTCCTCCCTCCTCCTCCTCCTCTTCCTCCTCCTCCTCCTCCTCCTCCTCCTCCTCCTCCTCCTCCTCCTCCTCCTCCTCCTCCTCCTGAGTGGCCTCGAGGCGGAGGGATCGAAGTGAGCCCTGCCTGGGCGGAGGGAGACCTGGGCAGGGAGGAGCACCGAGCTCGGGCGATGATAGAATTGGGTCGGGCATGTCCTCCTGCGGTGGGAGCTTGGACGAAAAATTAATGATAGTCAATAAAGCACGCAGAAACAATCAAACATAGCAACAACAAAAAAATCGACCCCAGGGTATATGCGGACTGTTTTTGAATTTTCCTCCTGTAGAGGGACAGGCCCGACTTAGAGATAGAAGAAAAAACAACGACAGTAACACAAACGTTTGGCGCTTCGGGCGAATTTCTTGGACCTGCGCTGGACCCCCTCCCTGGCGCGCGGAGCGCGCCAGGGGCGGCGCTGGAGGCGCCGCCAGGGGGCCCCAGCGCAGGTCCACGAAATCCGCGCGGAACTCCACTAGTTTATGTTTATGGCGATTGTTTTCTTCCTCGAGAGGAGGCGTGTGGAGTAAGCCAAGCGCACTGCGCGAAAACGCCTGAGGCCGTGCGAGGCGCCCAGCTGCTGCGCTTTGCCCCCCCCCCCCCCCCCACGCGCCCCTCCCGCCACGCCTGGCGGAGCGCAGCGGCCCCATGCTTTGGGGGCCCGCGCCCGTGCGCTGCGCTAAGTTAGAGGGCTCGGCTCGGCAACTCCTGGAAGGTCTTCGCCAGAACGATGACGTGTGAAGTTTCGGTGGCCACTCATGAGGGCCTACAATGCCAACTTGTCGGCCCTTGCAAATGGACGCTGGTCGACACCACATCGATGCTGACCGACGCACAAACCGGCGCTATCACATCGACTCCCAAACGCTAATCGAAGCTAGTCGGCGCTAGACACGGAATTTAGAGGGTATACCAGGCGCTGCAGGAGGACATTGGCATTCTCTGCATCCATGAAACGCACAAGGGTAAATCTGAGTATGAGATCAAAACCGGGGCCTCCTGCTTATCATGTCTGGCGCGGCAGAAGACGAACCGGAGGCAACTGCAGAAGTTGGGTTTCTGATCTCTCCGCTGGCACGTCGCAGCGTCATTGGTTTCAGACAGGCCTCTTCGAGAACGGCGTCGATTAAGGGTAATTACCTTCAGCGCCTACGTCCCGCACAGCGGGAAACCAATCGTCGACCGGCAAACATTCTTCTCCGAAATGGCCGGCTTCCTCGACAGCCACTCCGCTCACGGACTGGTGCTGCTATTTGGTGACTCAAATGCCAGGATACACCGGCGCTTCCCCGGAGAAGAGGACGTGCTGGGGCCGCTCGTGTTCGGGAGCCCGCACGCGCAGCACCACCCAGAATCAAATGGGGCACTCCTGCTCGAACTGTGCACATCTCGCATGTGCGCTGTCGGCAACACAATTTTCGACGAGCCCCCGGAGCGCCAGATTACCTACTACGATATCGGACGCTCGTTGGCGGACCCCCCCAGTACACCAACACTATGGGCAAATGCACTTGAAGATCGTGTCCATTGAGCGGCTTCGGTGCTTGAAGAGTGTGCGCAGCAACAGGGCGATCGCGTGACATAGTTTTTTCGTTATTGTATCCCTGGGCGTGGACGTCCCTCGCGAAAACAACGGCCCCCTCGAGCCTCGACGACAGCTTGGCGAGCTTCGGGGCGAACATTTCGGAACTGGTGGCCAACGCATTCTCCGATGCTTTCTGTACTCACATGAGCTCAAGCGGGCGCGAGCGCGGGTGCGCAAGCGTCCAGCAGCTCACGTCGAACATGACAAATGCTTTTCGTTGTGATGCCCGAGACGCTCTTCCGACCCTCGCGAAGAGACCGCGGCGACCGTGGATATCTGACAGGAAGCTCCAGCTCTTAGACCGGAAAGACGCAGCGAGGGCACGAGGGACGACGCAGGAGGAGCGGCGCTTACACCGATCTGTGAAGGATTCCGTCAAGGCGGACCGTTCGGATTGGTTTAGAGAGCCAGCTCGCCTCCGGAGACCGGGCGCCGATCCGCGCCTTGGGAAGAGGAGCGCAAGCCCGGCAGGGCCAGTTGGCCGACATGGAAGATCGTCCTGTCAACTCCGACCACCGTGCAGGCACAAAGGCAGGGTGCCTCAGCGGAGCTCGGCCGCTCTGCCGACGTGCGCAGCGCCGAACGGGGACACCCTTGGCAACGAGCTGACTGTACCATGTGGCCCTACTTGAATGGAACCCGCCTTCTGCTTAGTGTGTAAGAGCTTCATCACTGTCTGAAACAGGCTTAGAAGTACTATACAATATACGTACAATCGATGCAGCATAGTTTTACAGTCGTACAAGTTTTGTGAGATACGCGAAGGTTCCATATAGTCGCTCAATTGTTTACATACTTCCAACGAGTTGTATCCACTTTAGCAGAACTTACAGAAATTCAAATTCTAGTTGTGTTATAGTTCCGCCAAGTTGCTAATACTTTGGAGATTTGCTTGCCGCCCCAATCCGTCAAAGCCTTTCTTGCAGAGCAGCTTGGGGCATCGGGGCCGTAGCATCTTGGAACCGTCGCTGACACTTCGGGCCGTGCACAGAGCTTCTGCTCAACGAGCTCATGGCTCATGGAGCTCATGGCTCGCGGAGAGCTTCATGCTCACAGAGCTCATGGCTCATTGGGCTCATTGCTCACGGAAAGCCTCCGCTCACGGAGCTTATGGCTCATTGTTTTCGACGGCCGTCGTTATCACCGTGTATATATTTACATATGTATATACATTAATGTTTCTATATATGCGTGTGAATTCACATATATGCGTGCATGCATCCCCTCTGGTCGAGACACGTCTCTACTGAGCGCGAGCCTCATGGAGGGAACATGTTCCATGGAGACGCGCGAATGCCAATCGCCGTCGTCATATAACATCGTCATCGCCATCACAATCGTCTCTGCGCCGTCTGCCGTCTTGGGGCATCTTGGGCCATGGGGCATCCCGGCGCCCTTGCCAGGCGCGTGGCCCTCCTCGCCGCCGTCGCCGCCCGCGCCAATCACCTTCGCGTTCTGCAAGGCCTGCCTCGCATCCTTGGGCTCGTAGAAGCACGGCCTCTCGTGCACTTTCAGCGGCGCGAAGTTCTGCGACGCAGGGGAGGAAGCTCGCGCCGTCGGCGCCGACGACCATCGCGAACTTCACGTTTGCCTTCGCCTCGCAAGCCGCAGGCTCTACCCACCTGCGCGGCGCGAAGAAGCCATTCCCCATGTCCTCAGAAGGCTCGGCGACGCCCGTGACCCACGGTCGCTTCACCGACGGCCACCGACGCCAGATGGCCCTCAAAGCCACCCTTGTCCTTGCTAAAGGTGGTGTTCTGCAATGGCACGGTCGGGGTGAACTTGAAGATGCTCATGCCGACTGCTGCCGACGTGGCAAGGCCGCAAGGGTTCCCCGCGTAGAACAAGGGCGGGCCCTCGCAGCGACTGCCAGACTTCATCAGAGCAACGTGCTCTTTGCGGAGGGATCTGGGGACCGCGCACCGCAGCCGATCTTGTTCCAATACTGACCCAGAGCAGTCCTTCGCCGCGCACTCCTCGGATACCTTCTCCTCGACGACCTTCCAGTCGCCGATCAGGGGTTTGTAGTCGGCACTGACCTTGAGGCACCCATCGGCATTGAAGGTTTTGACATCGGTCATCGAGACAGCGCCAGCGTCGCCGACGGCCGCCACCTCGAACAACTGGCCCTCCTCGATGGTTTTCTCTCTCGCTTGAGAACCGATCTCGATCCCCACTCGGCCCTTCAGGACGCGCGTGGGAGCGCGCATCTCGTCGAACGTCGGGGTGTCGATCCTCTTCTTCTCTGGCGTTTCAGCCCCGACCCCCCCGTCGGGCGGCCCATTGACCTGACCGAAGCCCTGCGGGCCCACGACCGAATCGCCAGCGGCCTTGACCAGGTCATACGCGTAGCGCGACTTGATGTCAGCCATGCGTTCGCCTTCCTTCTCAGGTGAGCGCTGCTGCCTTTCGAAATGGCACGGCCCGCGCAGTGAACTTGCCGACCATCTGGTCAAGCGCCATCAAATGGATCTTGATTGCAATCATCGCCATCTCGGCCACATTCCAAGCGCGCTTGACAGCGCTGTTCAGCTGGATGGTTACAGCCTTGCCCTTCGACGTTTCCACGTCGGCCCTATTAGATCGGCTTCGCTATCCCGCCCGCCACCTTCTCCGACGCAAGGTTAGTGGCGCGAGCGCAGCGCGGAAGAACGGTGCGTTGTCGCGCGCGTTGAGTTCCGCGGTCGCAATCGATGCGATGAACTCTTATCCAAGGGCCTTGTTCTGACTGGGCGTCTTTGAGAACCTGTCCAAGGAGCGGGGCGCCGGTGCCCCAGCGCCGCCTGCAAGGGGGGAGGCCATACAGCGCCGGAGACCAGAGGTCGTCGAAGAGGAGGCGCGCGGAAGACCACGGGTCGAACAAGGGGAGGCCAGTTAGAGAGGGCGAGTTAGAGGCGATGTGAGTTAGATGCGAAGCGAGTCATGTACGAGACGTAGACGACATGACCATCTCATATCGAAGTCGGCCCGAGACACCGCTGACGAGGTCAACCAAGCGGGAGACGGCCCCGATGCACGGCGCACACAGGGGTGAAGCCGCTCTGGCCGCCGCGATGGCATCGCCTTTGTCGGGCTGCAGGTCCGAGAGCCAAACGCTGGTCTCGAGCTCTGTGCACCGCGGGCTCGCCCCGTGCACGGCACCCAGCGCCCGCTGACGCAGGTCGGCAGCCCTGGCCACGCCACCTCGCATTGTCGAGGGAACGCCCGCCAGCTCAAACCCTCGGCCATGCATCGGCCAAAGCGCATGTCACGCCGACCGAGCTCCGCGCACAGAAAGCCGTCTGCATTGGCAATGTTCTTGGACGGAGCTCTGCACTTGGGCTCGCAAGCTCGCGCGGCGGCGGCCCCGTGCCCCGTGCCCGCGCTCAAATGCGACTCGCGCACCGTGGGCTGCATCGGGAGCCCGTTGGCGCGTTGGCACAGGTCGACGTTGAACTTCTGCTGAATGCTCTTCGCGGGGCCGAACGGACACGCCACAAAACGCGCTGCCTTGTTGGGCTCTTTCGGGTCGCGGCCCGCTGCGATGATCTCCGCGAGGTTTTTTTTTGTTTTGAACTTCGCACGTATTAAGCCAAAGCTTGCCCCCGTTGGTCGGGTGCACCAGGGCGGTGTCCGCCAAGAGCGTGCGCCCCGCCAAGATGGGTTCCTTGGTGAGGATCTCTGAGATGCCCTCGCACGCTGTGAGCGATGACGTCTTGCAGTTCCTGGCTGGTTCGATCACCTTCTGCGCAGCACTGACTAGATGGCCCGAATAACCGTGCGCATTCTTCATCATGATGAAATCTATGGAAGCGCGTGGATCACCGCGCACGCGGATCGCGCGGGCGGCAAGCCGTCGAAGCCGCGCTGCAGCCGTTGCGCCGAACCGGCGATCCAGCCCGAACGCAGTCCAGAGGACGAACGCCCTCAAGATGGTTCGAGCTGTTCCCAAGTCGCACCCGACCTGGTGTCTCCCAAGATGTTTCCAAGACGGAAATGTGCCTCGGCACCGCATGGTTCTTCAATCACCATTGCAAGTCGTGAGGTGCAAGCACATGATCAACGTGGCGTCTGTGATGACTGTTGCCCTGCACCGATCCCACTGTCGCTTCGCAGGCGCGCGTGGATCAACTCACTACCGCTTGCATCCCTGGGCTACCGTGGAGGTTGATGCAAACCCCGTGGCCGACATGGACACCTCGATGGACGTTGACTCGCCGTGGGGGATGGATGAAACGAGCGTTTGGAAGACACAGACGTGGGGCACCTTCGCTGCGAAGCTGACTTACAAGGAGGTCGACGTAAACCATGGGGGCCTCCAACGGCGCACATGGAGCAGCAGCGTGCAGCACAAAAACTCGAGCAGCGCAATGCATCCCACAGAATGCAAAAACGCATGTTTCTTCAGGAAGGGGTGCACGTGTGGGCCAATGACGCGCGCCGTTGGTGCGCGTTTGTTTTTGGTTGCCTACACGGCGAGCATGTTGTCCCACTCCGTAGCCAGCACGTAGGGGAGATGCGTCGTGTGAATCACACGGGGCGTGCATGCGTAAAAAAACATATGCGTGAATTAACGCCGGGACGGAGTCGCATCGGCACGAGCTGTCGCTCTTCAGCTCTCTCTTTTGCATGCGTTGCACAAGGAAGGAAATCATCATCCTCCTGCGGTGCACTTCCATGCACACATATGATAGCCATTTGAGGTCAATCGCAAGGCAGCGGGGATGGCTTATCTTTGCAAATATGATATTGGACGTCTCTGTTGAGACGTCAGTAACGGTCAGCGTGTCCGATGAGACGTCCAGTATGTGTCAGCGTGTCCGATGGACAGAAGCGGCGTTTTAAGTGGAGCAGGTGGCGACGGCGGCCGAAGGCGCACCGATGGTGGTGATCAGCCTGCGCGAACGGCCCTTGATCCGCAGGGTCGCCTCCATAGCGGGCCTGGGCCTATCGGGCGTGGACCTCAAGAAGATCTCGACCAGCAACACCGTGGGGTATACGATGCTCAAGGAGCTCCGCCAGCAGGCGATGGCCTCTGAAGGGGAGAGCACCAAGTCCACGCTCTTTGCAGACGAACAGCACGAGTATGATACTCCTGTGAAGTCTGCGGCGGTGAAGACGAGTGGTCTGCGATGTACGAGGACTGCCGCGGCCGACATACGTCGCCGCCGCCAGTTGATCAGCGTCTGTTTGGACGGCAACACAGTCGAGATGATGAAGAGCCCATCGCAAGCCGATGACGTAATGATTAAAGCTACCAGTGCGAGCATCATGGCGGTGGCACGCTGCATGGCCAGGGACGTTACCTTCGAAGGTATAAATCCGCCGACCCTGTCGGCGTGTGTGATGGGCTTGTCCGTTCAAGTCGTCATCTCCGTCATTCGTTGGTCGTCGTCTCTGTCGTCCCCTTTCCCTGCCTCCCCCCTTTCCCTGGACTCGTCGGATCTCCCCCTTTTCCCAGGGACCTCCTCAGCGCGCCAGCCAAAGCAAAGTTGAGCAATGTCGTAATTGAGTCGAAGGGAAGCCCCTTCCCTTCGATCCTTCCCCCGCCGGGGGGGGGAAGGGGTGGGGGGGAGGGTCAGGGGGGGGGGTCAGATCCCCCATGGGAGTCCCGGAGCCCAAAAAAGCTCCAAGACGGGCCAAGAGTGCCCCAAGAGGCCCCAAAGACAGTCCACGAGAACCCCGAATCGCCGAACGATCTGTCCAAGACGCTTTGACGGCCTCCAGACGGCCCAAGAGGCATGCAAAGCGCCCCAAGAGGCCTCCAGGAGCTTTCCCACGAGAGCCCCAAAAGGCAAAATCCATGGATTTCCCATACGTTGTTGGAAGATTTTGGCGTTCTTGTCTCTTCCGCTTCCCGACGCGCCAAGACGGCCCAAAAGGCCCCCAAGATCGCCCCGAGACGGCCCAAGAGGCCCCCCTAACGGCCGAAGAAGGCCCCAAGACGGTTCAAGACGCCTCCAAGACGGCACAAGAGGCCGCAAAGACGGCTCCAGGAGAGTGCCCAGACAGGGGGCCCGAACGGACATTTCGAGCTCTCAGCCCCAAGAGGCCTCCAAGAGGCCCCGAAGAAGCTCCAAGAGGCCCCAAGAGGCTCCCAAGGGGCCCCAAAACTGCCCCAAGACAGCCCAGGAGAGCTCCAAATTGCCTAGGAAGCTTCCAAGAGTGCTCGAGACGGCGCAAGAGGAGCCCTGGACGGCCCAAGACGGCCTCAAGAGAGCCCCAGGCTGTCCCAAGAAAGCCTCTGGCCTCCTCCTCTTCCTCCTGCTCCTCCCCCTCCTCCCCCCCCCCTCTGCTCCCCCTCCTCCTGCTCTCCTCTGCCTCCTTCTCCTCCTCTATCTTCTCCTCCACATCCTTCTCCCCCCTCCTCCTCCCTCATCCACCTCCTCCACCCGTCCTCCACCTCCCACTCATCCTCCTCCCCGTGCCCCTCCCTTGTTTTCATCTTCGTCGTTCTCAGGGTCGGCGGCACCGGCCGTAAGGCCTTCGCAGTATGACCAAATGCAGGGTACGGGGCAGTTCGGGTCAGAAGGGTCTGTCGAAGTGCGGGGAGAACTCGAAGGTGCCCCGCTTTTACCACAAGGGCCGTGGCAAGAGCGTCAACATCCAGAGTGTACGGCTTGCGCACGCTGAGGCGTCGTCCATGGAGGAGGGTGAGGGGGAGGCGGTGTCAATGGATCTAGGCGATCTCTCAGACGCTGCGCCCGCGGCAGATGCATGAACACGTTGACGGAGGGGACGTCGTCAGAGTAGAAAACGGATGCCGTTGCAAATTCCAACGTCGGTGCAATTGCCATTATCAACCAGGCATATCGCTGTCGATGGCGGGCCCATGCGCATACCAGGACGCTTCGCCACCGCTTGGAAATGTTCAGCCAAACCGAGCCCCGGAGCAAGCCGGACCAAGCGGGATCCAGCCGGACTGAGCGAGCTTCAGCGCGATGACAGGGGATCCGGCCAGTTCTCGACCGCGGATAACTATGAAGAGGCCCAGGGACACACACACACATAAATACACAAAAATCTATATTTTCCATCTATCTTATAATATTTTCGGGGTTTCCGTCTCCCCCCCCAACTCGCACAGTTTCCCATATTTTCCTGGGGATCGACGGTTCATTGTGTCTGTGTGTTTCTCCCCCCCCGAGAGAACTATATCAGCGCCGACTCTGAATGGAACCTCCCAGGAGCTGCATCCTGAGCCAAGGAGGCGAGGCAGGCACAGCCAGGCGCCAGCCCACGACGCCAGCTTTTTCGGCGACTCCGAAGGGCGTGCCTGGCAAGAGGGGGGTGTGGCTTGCCTCGCGCGTGCGGGGGGACGGGCCAGGAGACCTCGGCAAAGTTCTCCGCCGCGCCCCAAGGAGGCCCCGACGGGTGCCGCGTGCCCCCCCCCCATACGCCCCAACAGCACAGATCGCAGACCACGCCCCGACGTAGCCGCACCCTGTGTAATCGAAGATGCATCGGCGGTGCATCGGCGGTGCATCGGCGACGCCGGCACGGAGAACATCGGGCTCCATATTCGAGCCGCATCGCCGATGCATCGGTGCTGCGGCGCGATCCTCCGACCCCGTTTCCTCCGACCCCGTCTGGGAGGCCCAGAACGACACAGATCGCAGACCACACCCTGGCGCAGACACACCCTCGGGCAGTCGCCGAGGCTTGGCCCATGGACGCCGCGCCTCGTCGTGCCCCCTCGGGCGAGACGAGAAAGGACTCCCTGCACTGCCAGCAGGCCCTGACCTCCGACGGCGACGCCGCAGCGGCGCTGCGCTCCTGGCTCTCAGTCGCCACGCCCGGAGCCCTCCGCCCGGACGCCCGGTCAGCGTGCTGCCAGGAGCGCACGTGCGCGTCGCTGCACAAATCCTTCTCCCCTCTGGCGTGGCCTGGGCCCCACTGGTCGATCTACTCTCCTAGATGGGGGTTGTACAGTCGGGACGTTGACCTAAGGAACCCTAAATAAGGAACGAGGCTCCTTTTTTCCACAAGTTAATAAACTTCGATTTCCCATCGAAAACCTAAGGAAAACCTGAGGCAAGCTGTGAAACAATCAAGGAACACCGAGCCCCTCCCCAACGAAAAGGGTTCCTTCTTCAGCGCCTCGACTGTAGGCCGTCTTCGGGCTCTCGAGGGGCATCTCACACGCTGGGGAGCTGGGATGGCGGGGACGGGGACGGGGGCGGGGGGTCGGTGAAGCGACGCGGCGCATGACAAGAGGCGAGGGAACTTCTTTGGCCACGGCGGGCCTGGCCCAGGCCGCAAGCGGGCTCCGCGACATGAAGCCGAAGGAACGGCCCGAAAGTTCGAGCCCTTCCTGAACCCAAAGCGCTCTCACCCTCCTCCTCCTCCTCCTCCTCCTCCTCCTCCTCCTCCTCTTAATCCTCCTCCTCCTCTTGATCCTCCTCCTCCTCTTGATCCTCCTCCTCCTCCTCCTCTTGATCCTCCTCCTCCTCCTCCTCCTCCTCCTCATCCTCCTCCTCCTTCTCAAGACACAGCCATGACGAGGAGAGGATAAACGAAGGATCTCTGCGATCCCGCGGGTCTGGAAGATGTATCGGGCGCCGCGGCCTTGTCGGAGCGCTCCCGAGCGCTCTGCGGGCGCTCGCTCTTATTAAAGGGACCTGCGCATCCTCGTCCTCTCCCCGTCCGAGCAGCGCGCGCACAGACGTGGACCCTTTTTTGTTAGGAGGGCCGCGCGCAGATCTCCGGGGCCGGTACCGAGAGCCCCATCGTTGGCGCCCGTGGAGACGCCGCCGAGGGGTCCCCCAGGCGCCGACCCAGGGAATCTGCGCGGGGCTCCGAAAGCTTCAGCTCCAGTGCGACAAAGGAGTCGAGTCGATTCGGAGGTCTGGGAGAGCCCAGCCACCCGACGACCAGCTTCCTGGAAAACCAGGCTGTCTGCAAGGGTTCTGCCTTGCTTCTTCGGGCGCGAAGAAATATGCTTCCCCCATGCCCGAAAACGTGAGCCCGTGGTCTCTTCTGCGGTCACCCAGGTGGTCTCCCATACAGTCTCCCGTGTGATCCCTGCACGGTCTCCCGCGTGGTTTCCCTTTTGGTCTCCCGTGTGGTCTCCCGTACTGTCCCCGCATGGTCGTTTGCCTGGTCTCCCGCATGGTCTATCGCATGGTCTCTCGTATCGTTTCCCATGTGGCCTTCCGTATTGAAAATCGCCTCCCGTGTGGTCTCCTGCATGGTCCCCGGAATGTCCTCCCGCAGTGTCTCCCACACGGTCTCCCGAAATGGTCTCCCCGTGTGGTCTCCTGGTATGGTATCCCGCATGGCCTTCCGCTTGGTCCTTCGCATGGTTTTCCAGAGAGGGGGGGGTGCAAATCATGGCCGGCGGCACGTGCGCGGCCCAAATGGGGGCCAGGGACGTAAAGAAATAGGAAGAGGCGCAGTGAATCTGGCGAAATATCATGGCCCACGCCATGATTCCACCCCCCCTAGCCATCACCCCCTTCTTTGCCGCCCCCGATGGGGGGGGGGGGGGGGCGGCGCGCGCTGCGGCCGGGCAGGCACGCCCCTCCCTCTCGAGGGGGGGGCGGCACCGAGGCCCTCTCTGTTTTTTTCGGCGGCGCGCCACACGGGGGGGGGAGCCCAGACGCTCGTCCTTCGAGTAGGGGCGTCGGCTATACAGAAAGGACCTACCCCAGGATGGACTGCCCCGCCGAGCCTGCGAAGAGAGAGACGTAGCATGCTGATACAGGTCGACGGAACAATCGTCGTACGCTTCGCAGCTTCGAGGAGGAGGAGGACGGGGAGGAGGAGGAGGCGGAGGAGGAGGAGGCGGAGGAGGAGGCGGAGGAGGAGGATGGGGGGGAGGAGGGCCTGGGTGTCGATCCCCTGCTCGAGTTCTGGGCTCCGGGTGTCGCTCCCTCTGCCGCCTGCTGCTGGTGGTGCTCTCCCCCGGTCGTCCACCCGGTGGGCCTCTCGGTGGCCACTTGGACGGCGGCGTAACCAAACAAAAATGTGCCCGAAATGGTGACCGAAAACGTCGTGTGACCGAAACTGTGACTGAATGGAAGATCGCATTGGTCCCACAGGCGGTGTCCTGATTTGTTCCATGCGCGGTCCCCAGAAGCCCCGACCCTTTGCCAAGAACCGGCGTTCGATGATGAGGGGTCGTTCCTTAACGGCCCTGGGCGGGGGCCCCGAGGGGCCCAGAGCGCGGCAAACACTCCGGTCCCGACTCTTTTCTCACGACGCAAACACGTCTGGGTGGG